TCTCGATAAGCATCCAACAATGGTTTAAGCCGGCTACAGAAGACCCTGAGGTGTCTTATGTCAATGATATGCAGAAAAATGATCTTTCGACTGAGCTGAAGTCAAATTTCACCCTACCGCCTGAGGATAATCCAGAGAACCCAGTTAAAGAGAAATTAATCAAGTCTTTTGCTCTGAAGAGGATGGTAGAACTATTCAGGAGGTGGAAGAAAGAGCTGAATAAGTTTGTCGAAAATAATGAGACACCAGAATTCAAGGGCAGATATGAGAAGATCAGAGATCACTGGCCCGCATTTGTGGCCCACAAGACATCAAAAAAGAGTAAGAAGATGTCGGCGATAAACAAGCAAAATGCTGCGAAGAAGAAGCTTCACCATCGCACGGGGTCAGGTGGCTACCTCGTAGCCCGGCCTAAGTGGTCCAAGACTGAGAATGATCTAGTTCATAAAGGGATCGAACCAGAGACAATTAACTGGCCAGACCATTGCCGGACTTGGTTCTTCGGGGCTGGCGGAACACTGGACCCTGTAACAGGGAAGTGCATTTGGACGAACGATCAAATGGACATACTAGTCAGTAAGCTTAAGCAGTATATCGAAGCAGCGCAGGAAGGGACGTTCTTTCCAGACAGAGAGAACGACGAGCTCACAATGGCCCTCGGGAATCCTGAGCACCCTGGACGGACACGAGGCACGCCAGGCTCCATTCCGTGGAAGGTTGGGTTTCCGGACGCAGGCGGTTACAAATCCCATGAGAGGAGGAAAAAAGTGCAGCAGACCCAAATACAGGCGCTGCAAGCAAGGGTAGACGCGATAGAGGAACGAGAAGCAAATCACAGCAAACGTACTGCCGAAGCCTCCCCCGAAGCTACCCCGCCATCTCAGCGCAGAAGCAGCGTGGCTTCCACCGAGCTGCTTCAGCTGGAGCATGCCTTGACGGCTCCTGCCAGCTATCCCGTGGATGCTATAACGGAGTCTCAAAATTGCCACCTTATGATGCAATGGATGAATTTGAAGGTCAAGGCGGCTGTTGGCTCTGTTTATCCTATTGAACCCGGCACAACTTTTCACTGCCGGCCGATTCCAGAAGGATATGCTAGGGTGATGGTGGATGAGATAACGGAGGGATTTGAGGACCTCCAGCTTGACCACCCTACCGGTGAAGGGGAGACTCGGCTGGGGTCTGCTCTGAAGACTCCATGCCTATGGTGGAAGGAGCTCATCAACCTTCCGAACTGGACGCCACCGCCTCCTCCTCCTCCTCCGGCGAGTCAGGGCACTCCGCCTCCACCGCCTCCTCCTCTGGCGAGTGACGATCAGGGCCCTCGGCCGGCTCCTTCTCCGGCGCGTGGCGGCACTCCACCTCCTTCTCCGCTTGCGCCGACGCGCCCGAGCAGCCAGCCTCCTCCTCCGCCTCGTCAGCAAGGGCGGAAGAGACCTGCCGCCGCTCCAGCTGCTCCGACGCGTCGTAGTCCTTCTCCTCCGCCGCTTAAGCAAGTAAAGAAGACAACCGCTTCGTCTGCTCGGTCGGCGTCTAGCAGTACAACCAGAGGCGGGAGGACATACAGATTCGGTCCTTCTCTGAAGACTCCGGAGAAGTTACCATATGAGAGGACCCTGGAGGAGAACGCCGAGATCGCGCGAGAAGAAGTGAGGAACTTCTTTGAAGGGGTGAAAGCAAAGAAACATCCACCTCCGGAGGAGAAGGTAGATCGGGTGAAAGTGAAGCGCACTCTGGCTACCCTGACAAAACCACTGAAGTCTGATCCGCCGAAAGGAAACTATGACCGCATTATTGGAAAGAAATTTGCCGAAGCGGAGCGGTCGGGAAGTACTGTCAGTGATCAAAGGCTGAAAGAACGACGAGCTGGGAAACAAATTGCCTAGCTCGGCGAACAAGCGAAGCAATCGTGCCCCCCGCTCAAGGTGCCTAGCCACAACGTCGATAATGATCCGAGGATGGTGCCCGGTTATAGCAATCTTGCAGATTACCTGCCCGACGAAGTACATTATGAACCCATGGAGGTGCAAATACAAAGATACGAGTACGGAAAGCGTCTCGTCAAAGATGAAAGATCTCTATCAACGATGATGCGAAGATTGCATGATTGGTACTTGAAAATCTGTAGAGACTCTGGGGGGAGGAGTACTTTGTATGTGAAAGTTAAAAAGGAGCATGACCTCGTTGGAATTGATCTGTTGCCTGTTCCATTTGAGGAGTTCTATCAGTTTTTCAATCAATTGGCCCTCGATAAAACAACGGTCGCCTGCTACTGTCTGTAAGTAGTACTACTTCTGTCATTAAGTCTCTCTATATAGCTCATCTCTTTCATTGCATGTATTTATAATTATCCTCACTATATTATGCAGAATGAAGATCGCCGAATTGAAGAAAATACAAATCGGTGATATTGGGTTTGTTAACACATATCTCATAGATGCAACTGAGGTTGAACATCGTCCCGGAGATACCGAGGCCAACTTGCTACGATCATTCAAAAAAAATGAAAACAAAGATATAATACTCTTTCCTTACAACTTCAAGTGAGTGTTACTGTCTTGTGCATATTCGGTTTCCCTTATATATTAGTCCAGGTTATAGTAATGTAATTGATGAGTTATGCATGCGTGTGCAGTTTCCACTATATTTTCCTAGAGATTAGGCTTGAGCAGGGAGTAGTAACCGTTTTGGACTCTAAACGAAAAGATCCCCAGGAGTATGCGGACATGACTGAAATCCTCAAGAAGTAAGTTAAATCGATCATTATCCACCATATCAGCAACTTTGTTCATTTCCTGATATCAAGTAATTGTTTTCTTTGTCCGGCAGGGTTTGGAGAAAATTCACCAGAAAAGTTTCGGGACTGCCGAAGGAGCTGGAATTTAGACACCCGAAAGTAAGTACTATAGTAGCATGTTCCGCGCATCTCCTAGTGATTTAAGCGCTAGTTTCATCAATACCATTTAGCATTCTTGCTTATCAGTTTGATTGACCTCTATTTCTTGTAAAGTGGTTGTGGCAGGAACAAGGGAATGATTTCTGTGGATACTACATCTGCGAGTCCATCCGCCACACGACCTGTGAGCGGGGCGGGTACTCTAACGAACAATATGAAGTACGTAAATAACAACATTCACAATTTTATTTTATTACCATCATTTGTGTTGAGTTTCATTCATTTATATATATATATGTATTGACCCCCTTCTTCAAATTAGATGTTTCGGAAGCGGGATGAACTCCTAGCACCAGCTCGCATGCGAGCAATTCAAGAGGAATTGGCGGCATTCTTTCTTGACCATGTGATCCCTGAAGACGGAGAATTCTATGTGGACCCTGAGTCCGTATGATTATATTTGTAAGAGATAATTATTGTATATATGTAGCCGGTAGTGTCAGATAGATATACGAGAACTTGTTGTTCGACCAATCTCTCGGAGAAGGAGAGGTGGTCGATATCACTTCTCTCTGTATATATGCATATATGTTCATGACGATCTTCTGTTTCCTTCGTTTGCTTACTAGCTAGCTAGCGTGTCTAGTCCTCTCTATATACGTATGTATAGTACGTAGCGTCGACCAAGCACGGACATAACAGAGGACACTTCTCTCTATTAATTATAACTAGCTAACACAATATAAGTGCTGACGCGTGGATGCCTATTGGTCCCGGTTGATGCCACCAACCGGGACCAAAGGGTCTCCTGACTGGGCTCTGCGCACTGCCCACGTGGAGGGCCTTTAGTCCCGGTTCTGGAGGGAGGTATTAGTACCGACACTTTAGTCCCGGTTCCGGAACCGGAATTAAAGGCCTTTACGAACCGGGACTATAGGCCCTTTTTCTACCGGTGTTCGGGGCTTGTATGGTTCTGTCAGTTATCAGATTGCTCCGTAAGGACTAATTAATGACTAGCAAAATTGTGTGTGCCAAGGAGATTAGACTGGGCTCTAGTTAATCTTAATGCTCTTCACATGCTTGTTTAGTACTCTGTTCTTCAGTGTAGTACTTTGTTCTTTACATTGCTTTTATATTCTCTAACCTCTGCAGTGCTAATCTCGCAGAATTAATCTTTTCCTAGCCAGCATACTGATCTGGTAAGAAAGATTTGGAACCTAGCCTTGTATTGTACCTAGCATTGCCACACATAATCGTTCCGACTAGGACTGTCGTGATGGGTAACCATGACTTTCAGCTACCACATGTTGTTCATGCTTATAGTTAATGCGAGAATCATCAAGCTTTTTAGCTTGCCAACAACAGTAGTCGAGTTTTGTTCTGTTAATAGAAACATGCTTACCAACAACAGTAGTCCAATCTTTTGGCCTGTTGTTTATTTTTTGTTTTGCCATGAACAAGCAACTTACGCAGTGCACCATTTAATTTTCTGCATGTATCAAATTTGTAGTGATATGTGGTAGAATTCACGCTAATTTAGGCTCCCTGTCTTTTGGAAATGCTAGGACAGCTTAATCTGGATTCTGAAGCAATGAGTACCTGCAAAATGGCAACGGGGGAAGCTACACATCTGTTCCAGACAGATTGAGCAGTCTACCTCCAGAGATAAAGGGCAATATCCACTCCCGTTTGAATATCGTAGAAGCGGTTAGGACTTGCACCTTATCAAGTACATGGAGGGATGCATGGACTGATATGCCAAAAATATCTCTTCGCGATGGGAAATTTACACGAACTAAGTTCGTTACGTTGGTTGATATGGTGCTATCACTCCACAAGGGAACTATAGAACAGTTCAATATTTCGGGTAGTGAAAGCTATCATGATGAGTTCACTAGGTGGATGCTCATGCTGTCAAGCAGATCCACAAGATCAATTATAATTGAGTTTAACTCAAGGCCAAGGTATAGGATACCCTCGTGCATCTTTTCTATGGCCATCTGAAGTCTCTACACCTAGAAAACTGCACCATCAGCTTGCCCCGGGTATTCCAAAGTTTCAAGAGCCTAACTGACCTAAGCCTCAAATTTTTCTCCTCACAAACATGGATATCCAAAATCTGATCTCATTCTGCCCTGTACTGACCAATTTAATACTAAATTATTTTGAGGGCATCAACCGTCTAAACATTCAGCCTCCTAAACTAGAATATCTTAATGTTGCTGGGGACTTTGAAGACATTGATTTGGATGCCCCTAATCTGAAGGCAGCCATTCTCTTCCATTATCACAAATCTAAAGCATATCAATCTATTCAAATTGCGCATGACAAGGAACGCCATGTCAAGAAGTCATTGGGAAGCCTAAGTGAGATCAAAACACTTGGAATTTCTGGCAGTTTCATGAAGGTGAGCTATTATTAGCTCCGGCATTGCTATAGCCTTCTTCTGTCTTCTGTCTAATCTGTGTTGCCATTTTTTTGGGGTGCAGTATCTATCAAAGGCGTGCATACTTACGAAACTCCCTGTCGTGTTCACTCGCCTGGAGGATATTTATCTTACGATATGCTTTTGGGACCAGAGGCAAGTCTTCACCGTGTGTTCATTGTTTCAGAATGCCCCTAGGTTGAAGAAGCTTGATATGTGGGTACGTATGCCTGCAGTAAATACTCTCCCTCCCTCGATTATCCAATCCATGTTTGTTGAATTTATGGCACCTACTCAGTTGTAAGAAAAATATATGCAGAGTTACCCTGGGAGCACATGGGATCAGGATCAGGCGAGCATTCAAGAGCTTACCCTGCAAATGCAAACGAACCATCTCATAACGGTCAGTGTGAATGATTTCCGGGGTGTGGACCACGAAATCAATTTTGTGGCAAAGCTATTGAGCTGGGAACCTGCTTTGGAAGAAGAGAGAATAAAGTGGAAGGGTGAAATGGACTGCAGCATGGTTCTTACCAGGCTATTGGCTCTGCCGAGGGTGTCTCCCAGGGCCAAGGTCATTGTCACATTTTGATAAGCATGCTTCCGCAACTATTTGCCAATGTAATTTGCTGCAGGTAGAATTATTTTGGCTTTGTTTATACGGATTTACCAGCTAGGACTATCTGGTGGTTATATATTTGTGTGCATTGGACGCAAATTATCAGGTAGACTTGGTGCGTTTTGTTCAACATTCGGTGGGAGTACTTAATGTGCTATCAGCAAGTGTCTTCCATGTGAAACACCGGAAATCACTGCTGCCATTCCTCAACAGCGTCAGTTCAGCTCGTGCTCTTTTGACCCTGTGTCCTTTGTATGGTACATTCCTGGTTGTCGCAAATATATGTGTCCATAAGAAGCGATCACATTTAGGAAGCACCTTCATGTTGTCTCAACAAGATGAGAATCAAAGACATCAAGTGTACCTTCGCATTGTACATTCTGCATATGATGCAGCATCATAATGAGATCGGAGTAGCTAGCTCATGCCTGAACCAGTCTACTTTTGGAAATCAAAGCATTCATGAGATTGGTTTACATTGGTTTCAGGTTGGAATTAATGTTTACATAACTAAACCAGAACAAAAGGAAGAAAAAACATGTTGTTCAGACCACTAGCTCGGGGGGAAAGATCCATGTCAACGCATATATACAGAGTGATTGCTGGTTTGACTCGTTAATACTTTGGGATCTCAAGTTGAACACCTCGCCGAGTCGACGAAAATAATATCATCCTCATTTATCTGATCCCAACAAGCCGGAATGGACTTGCAAAACAGCTTGCTAATGAAAATCCCCATGGACATCTAGACCACCCGTCATACGCACCCACATGCTTGTGTGGACATCTGCCTTGAATACGTCCACCTTGCGGGTGAAGCTGAGACCGCTTGAAGTGTATTGCACTATTTGCCGCCTCACCATGAGCAACTTCGCACGCAATTCAACAAAGTACCCGATGGCGGTGAGATGATGATCATCTTCTTCCCCAGATATATACTCGATGTCATTATTAATCTTGCTGCTCTCTTCTTTACGCGTATAATCATCATCAACCTGATCGCCCTCTTGGTTAAGCACCTTGTCATGGTCCTTTTCCTCAACCACATTATTTCCATCATTTTTTGCCTCCTCATCTTTCGTGTCCCTCCACACATTGGAATTATCATTGCCCTCTTTATCTTCTTGTTTAAGCGCCTCATGATTGTCCTCGTTCTCACCTACATTTTCATCATTTCACGCCTCCTCATCTTCGTCGTCACACCACACACTGGAATCATCATCGCCCTGTTGTGTAAGCGTCTTGCCATTGTCCTCATCCTCGCCCACATTTTCATCATTAGTGTCCGCGTCCTCTTCGTCGCCACTGCACACGTCGGAATCGTCATCGCTGCACACAGCAGAATTAGCATCGTCCACTGGATTTTGAATGATGTGCTTGATATTGGTGACCATGGGTACGTGGTTGCCATTAATGTTGACTTGGAAGGAGAAGAGGTCCTCAGACGATTGATTCCATAAACTATGTCTCCAAGGAATGCAATATAGACGATGCGAGTGAAGGTAGCACAATATGGCTCGGGCAACCAGACACCCTTTCCTGGGCGGATGATTATGACGGGGCAGTTTGTGTTGTTCTTAATGAAGACAACAAGGTCATTCGGAGTCGATCGTACAAGCACCTTGCGGATTTGGAACCACTCCGGGAAATTGCCAATGACGGTGTCAAGCTCAGGCAGCGACATTCTGGAGAAAGGATCGATTAGGAGATATGTTTGTCTCTTCTTGGCAGTGCAGTCGAGGGCGAGCCAGCCGTCGGCAGAGCTGACACAATGCCCATTATCGGGGACGGAGGGGATGTGGTGCCAATAGTGGTTGCGATCGAATGGAGCAATAATGTTCCCTTGCTAGTCAAGGACACACGACAGCTGGCACTTTGGCGGACCTTGACTATGCAGTGTCCGATGGCACAAGCGACAGATGGTTCGACAGGCATGGGATTGACGGTGTTGGGACCATGCCGATGCTGGGCAAAATTCGAAAGGTGCCATCTTTTGTTATACCTGACGCGCATTTTTCTTTTCGGTAATTTGCAATCTACATGTTTTTTTACGTGGTTATAAGAGTCTTCAAAATATATACTCAAAAAGAGTCTTCACAATATGAAACTTTTATATCGATTGAAGATATTGCCCATGAAATTGTGTGGGTGCAGGCCATTATCCTATTTTGGTACTAGAAGTGTCAAACACTTCTTAGTATATCCAAATACGGCGGTATTTCAAGAATGTATTTTGAAGAAAAAAAAAACATATCCAAAGCAACAAACACACTTCGCGACGAATCATTACAGGAGTTATACCATTTTCTTATGAACAAAACTTGTGTTGTTTAGCCATATATTGGTATAGAGATACATAACTAAAATAGAACAAAAAAAAAAGAAA